TGCCGTTTCTGCGATCCTGATATAGATCTACAGGCTTCGAAAATCGCACTGTCTACCGAGACTTTTCGTAAAATTGGTGGACGACGAGCTTGTATCAGGATCACAGAAACGCGAGGAGGTTTGGAAATACGACTATGCTCTTGCTATTAGATAAGCACGAATATCAAATCATGGCATCGATACCTCTTGCCGTTTCTGCGATCCTGCTACAGATCTATACGCATCCGAAAATCACATTGTCTACCGAACCTTCCTCGTTAAAATTGGTGGACGACGAGCTGCTATCAGGATCACAGAAACGCGAGGAGGGATGAGGATGGTAGTCTACCATGCTATGATGTTGACGCGAAATTTTGATCTTTGGCGTCGGTACTCCTAGTCATTTCTGCAATCCTAATACAAATCTATATGATTCATGGAAAATTGTTATCATGTTTACAGAAAGGCGATGAGGTATGCAAGTGCCAGTCTGCTCCTGCTATGAGATATGCACGAAATTCAAATCCATGGCATCGATACCTCTTGCCGTTCATGCGATCCCCTGATACAGACCTATAAGCATCCCAAAATCACATTGTCTACCAGCCTTTTGTCGTAAAGTTAGTGGACGACGAGTTGTTATCAGGATCACAGAAACGCGAGGAGGTATGAGAATGGCACTCTGCTCCTGCTATGAGATAAGCACAAAATTCAAATCTATGGCATCGATACCTCTTGCCGTTTCTGCGATCCTGATACAGATCTACAGGCTTTCGAAAGTCGCACTGTCTACCAGACTTTTGTCGTGAAGTTGGTGGACAAGGAGTTGTTATCAGGATCATAGAAACGCGAGAGGTTGCAAATACGACTATGCTCTTGCTATTAGATAAGCACGAATATCAAATCCATGGCATCGATACCTCTTGCCGTTTCTGCGATCCTGCTACAGATCTGTACGCATCCGAAAATCGCATTGTCTACCGAACCTTCCTCGTAAAATTGGTGGACGGACGAACTGCTATCAGGTTCACAGAAACGCGAGGAGGTTTGCAAATACGACTCTGCTCTTGCTACTAGATAAGCACGAATATCAAATCCATGGCATCGATACCTCTTGCCGTTTCTGCGATCCTGATACAGATCTGTAGGCTTCCGAAGATCGCACTGTCTACCAGACTTTCCTCCTAAATTTGGTGGACGACGAGCTGCTATCAGGATCACAGGAATGCGAGGAGTTTTGCAAATACGACTCTGCTCTTGATATAGATGTTAAGCTCACCCACCGTACTTCTCGCGCCATCTAGTGAGCGGCGCTTCAACGCATCAACCGTTTGCTACTGGCCAGGCGGTTACCCTACGTTACCGACCGGGTGAAAAAATCTACAGGTTGTTTTGTTACCAACCGGTAACGCAAAAGAGAGGGGATGATAGTGCCACGAGAGACAGACATTATTATTCACATATTCACAAAGTATTGTACCCTACATTTTCTGTTATAAACCTTCGTAAAGCGAAGAACCTATAGTTATTTCATCGGTAAACCCTCAGAGTGGGTGCTTTACATTAAATAAGCACGAATATCAAATCCATGGCATCGATACCTCTTTGCCGTTTCTGCGATCCTGATACAGATCTATACGCATCCGAAAATCGCACTGTCTACCGAACCTTTCTCGTAAAATTGGTGGACGACGAGCTGCTATCAGGATCACAGAAACGCGAGGAGGTTTGTAAATATGACTCTGCTCTTGCTATTAGATAAACACGAATATCAAATCCATGGAATCGATACCTCTTGCCGTTTCTGCGATCCTGATACAGATCTGTAGGCTTCCGAAGATCGCACTGTCTACCAGACTTTTCTCCTAAAATTGTGGACGACGAGCTGCTATCAGGATCACAGGAATGCGAAGAGGTTTGCAAATACGACTCTGCTATGCTATTAGATAAGCACGAATATCAAATCCATGGCATCGATACCTCTTGCCGTTTCTGCGATCCTGATACAGATCTACAGGCTTTCGAAAATCGCACTGTCTACCAGACTTTTGTCGTGAAGTTGGTGGACGAGGAGTTGTTATCAGGATCACAGAAAACGCGAGGAGGGATGAGGATGGAAATCTACCATGCTATGATGTTGGCGCGAAATTTTGATCTTTGGCGTAGGTACTCCTAGTCATTTCTGCAATCCTAATACAAATCTATATGATTCATTGGAAAATTGTTATCAGGTTTACAGAAAGGCGATGAGGTACGCAAGTGCCAGTCTGCTCCTGCTATGAGATATGCACGAAATTCAAATCCATGGCATCGATACCTCTTGCCGTTCATGCGATCCTGATACAGATCTATACGCTTCCGAAGATCGCACTGTCTACCAGACTTTTCTCGTAAAATTGGTAGACGACGAGCTGCTATCAGGATCACAGAAACGCGAGGGGGTTTGCCGATACCACCCTGTTCCTGCTGTGAGATAAGCGCGAAATTCAAATCTATGGCATCGATACCTCTTGCGGTTTCTGCGATCCTGATACAGATCTGTAGGCTTCCGAAGACCGCACTGTCTACCAGACTTTTCACCTAAAATGGTGGACGACGAGCTGCTATCAGGATCACATAAAAGCGAGGAGGTTTGTAAATACGACTCTGCTCTTGCTATTAGATAAACACGAATATCAAATCCATGGCATCGATACCTCTTGCCGTTTCTGCGATCCTGATACAGATCTATACGCATCCGAAAATTGCACTGTCTACCGAACCTTCCACGTAAAATTGGTGGACGACGAGCTGCTATCAGGATCACAGAAACGCGTGGAGGTTTGTAAATACGACCCTGATCTTGCTATTAGATAAACACGAATATCAAATCCATGGCATCGATACCTCTTGCCGTTTCTGCGATCCTGATAACAGATCTGTAGGCTTCCGAAGATAGCACTGTCTACCAGACTTTTCTCCTAAAATTGGAGGACGACGAGCTGCTATCAGGATCACAGAAACGCGAGGAGGTTTGCAAATACGACTCTGCTCTTGCTATTAGATAAGCACGAATATCAAATCCATGGCATCGATACCTCTTGCCGTTTCTGCGATCCTGATACAGATCTACAGGCTTTTGAAAATCGCACTGTCTACCAGACTTTTGTCGTGAAGTTGGTGGACGAGGAGTTGTTATCAGGATCACAGAAACGCGAGGAGGGATGAGGATGGTAGTCTACCATGCTATGATGTTGGCGCGAAACTTTGATCTTTGGCGTAGGTACTCCTAGTCATTTCTGCAATCCTAATACAAATGTATATGTTTCATTGGAAAATTGTTATCAGGTTTACAGAAAGGCGATGAGGTACGCAAGTGCCAGTCTGCCCCTGCTATGAGATATGCACGAAATTCAACTCCATGGCATCGATACCTCTTGCCGTTCATGCGATCCTGATACAGATCTGTAGGCTTCCGAAGATCGCACTGTCTACCAAACTTTTCTCCTAAAATTGGTGGACGACGAGCTGCTATCAGGATCACAGGAATGCGAGGATGTTTGCAAATACGACTCTGCTCTTGATATTAGATAAGCACGAATGTCAAATCCATGGCATCGATACCTCTTGCCGTTTCTGCGATCCTGATGCAGATCTATAGGCTTCCGAAGATCGCACTGTCTACCGAACCTTTCTCGTAAAATTGGTGGACGACGAGCTGCTATCAGGATCACAGAAACGCGAGGAGGTTTGTAAATACGACTCTGCTCTTGCTATTAGATAAACGCGAATATCAAATCCATGGCATCGATACCTTTTGCCGTTTCTGCGACCTTGATACAGATCTGTAGGCTTCCGAAGATCGCACTGTCTACCAGACTTTCTCCTAAAATTGGTGGACGACGAGCTGCTATCAGGATCACAGAAACGCGAGGAGGTTTGCAAATACGACTCTGCTCTTGCTACTAGATAAGCACGAATATCAAATCCATGGCATCGATACCTCTTGCCGTTTCTGCGATCCTGATACAGAACTGTAGGCTTCCGAAGATCGCACTGTCTACCAGACTTGCTTCTAAAATTGGTGGACGACGAGCTGCTGTCAAGATCACAGGAATGCGAGGAGGTTTGCAAATACGACCCTGCTCTTGCTATTAGATAAGCACGAATATCAAATCCATGGCATCGATACTTCTTGCCGTTTCTGCGATCCTGATACAGATCTGTAGGCTTCCGAAGATCGCACTGTCTACCAGACTTTTCTCCCAAAATTGGAGGACGACGAGCTGCTATCAGGATCACAGGAATGCGAGGAGGTTTGCAAATACGACTCTGCTCTTGCTATTAGATAAACACGAATATCAAAGCCATGACATCGATACCTCTTGCCGTTTCTGCGATCCTGATACAGATCTACAGGCTTTCGAAAATCGCACTGTCTACCAGACTTTTGTCGTGAAGTTGGTGGACGAGGAGTTGTTATCAGGATCACAGAAACGCGAGGAGGGATGTGGATGGTAATCTACCGTGCTATGATGTTGGCGCGAAATTTTGATCTTTGGCGTAGGTACTCCTAGTCATTTCTGCAATCCTAATACAAATCTGTATGATTCATTGGAAAATTGTTATCAGGTTTACAGAAAGGCGATGAGGTACGCAAGTGCCAGTCTGCTCCTGCTATGAGATATGCACGAAATTCAATGGCATCGATACCTCTTGCCGTTCATGCGATCCTGATACAGATCTATAAGCATCCGAAAATCACACTGTCTACCAGCCTTTTGTCGTAAGTTAGTGGACGACGAGTTGTTATCAGGATCACAGAAACGCGAGGAGGTATGAGAATGGCACTCTGCTCCTGCTATGAGATAAGCACAAAATTCAAATCTATGGCATCGATACCACTTGCCGTTTCTGCGATCCTGATACAGATCTGTAGGCTTCCGAAGATCGCACTATCTACCAGACTTTCTCCTAAATTGGTGGACGACGAGCTGCTATCAGGATCACAGGAATGCGAGGATGTTTGCAAATACGACTCTGCTCTTGATATAGATGTTAAGCTCACCCACCGTACTTCTCGCGCCATCTAGTGAGCGGCGCTTCAACGCATCAACCGTTTGCTACTGGCCAGGTGGTTACCCTACGTTACCGACCGGGCGAAAAATCTACAGGTTGTTTTGTTACCAACCGGTAACGCAAAAGAGAGGGATGATGGTGCCACGAGAGACAGATTATTATTCACATATTCACAAAGTATTGTACCCTACATTTTCTGTTATAAACCTTCGTAAAGCGAAGAACGTATAGTTATTTCATCGGTAAACCCTCAGAGTGAGTGGTGCTTTACATTAGATAAACACGAATATCTAATCCATGGCATCGATATCTCTTGCCGTTTCTGCGATCCTGATACAGATCTACAGGCTTTCGAAAATCGCACTGTCTACCAGACTTTTGTCGTGAAGTTGGTGAACGAGGAGTTGTTATCAGGATCACAGAAACGCGAGGAGGAATGTAAATACGACTCTGCTCTTGCTGTTAGATAAACACGAATATTAAATCCATGGCATCGATACCTCTTGCCGTTTCTGCGATCCTGATACAGATCTATACGCATCCGAAAATCGCCACTGTCTACCGAACCTTCCTCGTAAATTGGTGGACGACGAGCTGCTATCAGGATCACAGCAATGCGAGGAGGTTTGCAAATACGACTCTGCTCTTGCTATTAGATGAGCACGAATATCAAATCCATGGCATCGATACATCTTGCCGTTTCTGCGATCCTGATACAGATCTGTAGGCTTCCGAAGATCGCACTGTCTACCAGACTTTTCTCCTAAAATTGGTGGACGACGAGCTGCTGTCAGGATCACAGGAATGCGAGGAGGTTTGCAAATACGACCCTGCTCGTGCTATTAGATAAGCACGACTATCAAATCCATGGCATCGATACATCTTGCCGTTTCTGCGATCCTGATACAGATCTATACGCATCCGAAAATCGCAGTCTACCGAACCTTTCTCGTAAAATTGGTGGACGACGAGCTGCTATCAGGATCACAGAAACGCGAGGAGGAATGTAAATACGACTCTGATCTTGCTGTTAGATAAACACGAATATTAAATCCATGGCATCGATACCTCTTGCCGTTTCTGCGATCCTGATACAGATCTATACGCATCCGAAAATCGCACTGTCTACCGAACCTTCCTCGTAAAATTGGTGGACCACGAGCTGCTATCAGGATCACAGAAACGCGAGGAGGTTTGTAAATACGACTCTGCTCTTGATATTAGATGTTAAGCTCACCCACCGTACTTCTCGCGCCATCTAGTGAGCGGCGCTTCAACGCATCAACCGTTTGCTACTGGCCAGGCGGTTACCCTACGTTACCGACCGGCGAAAAATCTACAGGTTTCTTTGTTACCAACCGCTGACGCAAAAGAGATGGGATGATGGTGCCACGAGACACAGACATTATTATTCACATATTCACAAAGTATTGTACCCTACATTTTCTGTTATAAACCTTCGTAAAGCAAAGAACGTATAGTTATCTCATCGGTAAACCCTCAGAGTGAGTGCTTTACATTAGATAAGCACGAATATCAAATCCATGGCATCGATACCTCTTGCCGTTTCTGCGATCCTGATACAGATCTACAGGCTTTCGAAAATCGCGTGTCTACCAGACTTTTGTCGTGAACTTGGTGGACGAGGAGTTGTTATCAGGATCACAGAATCGCGAGGAGGGATGAGGATGGTAATCTACCATGCTATGATGTTGGCGCGAAATTTTGTTCTTTGGCGTAGGTACTCCTAGTCATTTCTGCAATCCTAATACAAATCTATATGATTCATTGGAAACTTGTTATCAGGTTTACAGAAAGGCGATGAGGTAGCCGCAAGTGCCAGTCTGCTCCTGCTATGAGATATGCACGCAATTCAAATCCATGGCATCGATACCTCTTGCCGTTTCTGCGATCCTGATACAGATCTGTAGGCTTCCGAAGACCGCACTGTCTACCAGACTTTTCTCCTAAAATTGGTGGACGACGAGCTGCTGTCAGGATTACAGGAATGCGAGGAGGTTTGCCGATACCACCCTGTTCCTGCTATGAGATAAGCACGAAATTCAAATCTATGGCATCGATACCTCTTGCCGTTTCTGCGATCCTGATACAGATCTGTAGGCTTCCGAAGACCGCACTGTCTACCAGACTTTTCTCCTAAAATTGGTGGACGACGAGCTGCTGTCAGGATCACAGGAATGCGAGGAGGTTTGCAAATACGACCCTGCTCTTGCTATTAGATAAGCACGAATATCAAATCCACGGCATCGATACCTCTTGCCGTTTCTGCGATCCTGATACAGATCTATACGCATCCGAAGATCGCACTGTCTACCGAACCTTTCTCGTAAAATTGGTGGACGACGAGCTGCTGTCAGGATCACAGAATCGCGAGGAGGTTTGTAAATACGACTCTGCTCTTGCTATTAGATAAACACGAATATCAAATCCATGGCATCGATACCTCTTGCCGTTTCTGCGATCCTGATACAGATCTGTAGGCTTCCGAAGATCGCACTGTCTACCAGACTTTTCTCCTAAAATTGGTGGACGACGAGCTGCTGTCAGGATCACAGAATGCGAGGAGGTTTGCAAATACGACCCTGCTCTTGCTATAAGATAAGCACGAATATCAAATCCATGGCATCGGCACCTCTTGCCGTTTCTGCGATCCTGCTACAGATCTATACGCATCCGAAAATCGCATTGCCTACCGAACCTTCCTCGTAAAATTGGTAGGACGACGAGCTGCTATCAGGATCACAGAAACGCGAGGAGGTTTGCAAATACGACTCTGCTCTTGCTACTAGATAAGCACGAATATCAAATCCATGGCATCGATACCTCTTGCCGTTTCTGCGATCCTGATACAGATCTGTAGGCTTCCGAAGATCGCACTGTCTACCGGACTTTTTCTCCTAAAATTGGTGGACGACGAGCTGCTGTCAGGATCACAGGAATGCGAGGAGGTTTGCAAATACGACCCTGCTCTTGCTATTAGATAAGCACGAATATCAAATCCATGGCATCGATACATCTTGCCGTTTCTGCGATCCTGATACAGATCTATACGCATCCGAAAATCGCACTGTCTACCGAACCTTCCTCGTAAAATTGGTGGACGACGAGCTGCTATCAGGATCACAGAAACGCGAGGAGGTTTGTAAATACGACTCTGCTCTTGCTGTTAGATAAACACGAATATTAAATCCATGGCATCGATACCTCTTGCCGTTTCTGCGATCCTGATACAGATCTATACGCATCCGAAAATCGCACTGTCTACCGAACCTTCTCGTAAAATTGGTGGACGACGAGCTGCTATCAGGATCACAGAACGCGAGGAGGTTTGTAAATACGACTCTGCTCTGCTATTAGATAAACACGAATCAAATCCTGGCATCGATACCTCTTGCCGTTTCTGCGATCCTGATACAGATCTATACGCATCCGAAAATCGCACTGTCTACCGAACCTTCCTCGTAAAATTGGTGGACGACGCTGCTATCAGGATCACAGAAACGCGAGGAGGTTTGATCACCTGTTCTGCTCTGAGATAAGCACGAATATCAAATATGGCATCGATACCTCTTGCCGTTTCTGCGATCCTGATACAGATCTGTAGGCTTCCGAAGATCGCACTGTCTACCAGACTTCTCGTAAAATTGGTGGACGACGAGCTGCCAGGATCACCGAACGCGGAGGTTTGTAAATACGACTCTGCTCTTGTTGAGATAAGCACGAAATTCAAATCTATGGCATCGATACCTCTTGCCGTTTCTGCGATCCTGATACAGATCTCTACGCATCCGAAAATCGCACTGTCTACCGAACCTTCCTCTAAAATTGGTGGACGACGAGCTGCTATCAGGATCACACAGAAACGCGAGGAGGTTTGTAAATACGACGCTGCTCTTGCTTAGATAAACACGAATATAAATCCATGGCATCGATACCTCTTGCCGTTTCTGCGATCCTGATACAGATCTGTAGGCTTCCGAAGATAGCACTGTCTACCAGACTTTTCTCCTAAAATTGGAGGACGACGAGCTGCTATCAGGATCACAGAAACGCGAGGAGGTTTGCAAATACGACTCTGCTCTTGCTATTAGATAAGCACGAATATCAAATCCATGGCATCGATACCTCTTGCCGTTTCTGCGATCCTGATACAGATCTACAGGCTTTCGAAAATCGCACTGTCTACCAGACTTTTGTCGTGAAGTTGGTGGACGAGGAGTTGTTATCATGATCACAGAAACGCGAGGAGGGATGAGGATGGTAATCTACCATGCTATGATGTTGGCGCGAAATTTGATCTTTGGCGTAGGTTACTCCTAGTCATTTCTGCAATCCTAATACAAATCTATATGATTCATGGAAAATTGTTATCAGGTTTACAGAAGGCGATGAGGTACGCAAGTGCCAGTCTGCTCCTGCTATGAGATATGCACGAAATTAAATCCATGGCATCGATACCTCTTGCCGTTCATGCGATCCTGATACAGATCTATAAGCATCCGAAAATCACACTGTCTACCAGCCTTTTGTCGTAAAGTTAGTGGACGACGAGTTGTTATCAGGATCACAGAAACGCGAGGAGGTATGAGAATGGCACTCTGCTCCTGCTATGAGATTAGCACAAAATTCAAATCTATGGCATCAATACCACTTGCCGTTTCTGCGATCCTGATACAGATCCTGTAGTCTTCCGAAGATCGCACTATCTACCAGAACTTTTCTCGTAAAATTGGTGGACGACGAGCTGCAATCAGGATCACAGAAACGCGAGGAGGTTTACCGATACACCCTGCTCCTATATAGATAAGCACGAAATTCGAATCATGGCATCGATACCTCTGCCGTTTCTGCGATCCTGATACAGATCTGTAGGCTTCCGAAGATCGCACTGTCTACCAGACTTTTCTCCTAAAATTGGTGGACGACGAGCTGCTATCAGGATCACAGGAATGCGAGGAGGTTTGCAAATACGACTCTGCTCTTGCTATTAGATAAGCACGAATATCAAATCCATGGCATCGATACCTCTTGCCGTTTCTGCGATCCTGAACAGATCTATACGCATCCGAAAATCGCATTGTCTACCGAACCTTCCTCGTAAAATTGGTGGACGACGAGCTGCTATCAGGATCACAGAATCGCGAGGAGGTTTGTAAATACGACTCTGCTCTTGCTATTAGAAACACGAATATCAAATCCATGGCATCGATACCTC